GGTAACTACCACTATTTAGTAGCTATTAAGTAAATAGCTATGGTAACTACCGCTATTTAGTAGCTATTAAGTAAATAGCTATGGTAACTACCGCTATTTAGTAACTATTAAATAGATAGTTATGGTAACTACCGCTATTTAGTAGCTATTAAGTAAATAGCTATGGTAACTACCGCTATTTAGTAACTATTAAGTAAATAGTTATGGTAACTACCACTATTTAGTAACTATTAAATAGATAGTTATGGTAACTACCACTATTTAGTAACTATTAAGTAAATAGTTATGGTAACTACCGCTATTTAGTAACTATTAAATAGATAGTTATGGTAACTATCACTATTTAGTAACTATTAAATAGATAGTTATGGTAACTATCACTATTTAGTAACTATTAAGTAAATAGCTATGGTAACTACCGCTATTTAGTAACTATTAAATAGATAGTTATGGTAACTACCGCTATTTAGTAACTATTAAATAGATAGTTATGGTAACTACCGCTATTTAGTAGCTATTAAGTAAATAGTTATGGTAACTACCACTATTTAGTAACTATTAAATAGATAGTTATGGTAACTATCATTACTAAAATCAATCAGTGTTCACCAAGTTTACAATTAATATTTTTCTCCAAAATTCTCCACTTTTTAATATGCAATGAATAGAAAGACCAAATCGTTTAAGATCGTGGAATAATTCCAACTGAATGCCAAAAGATCAAGTAAATATAATCAAAACCTATTTTTAATGATCTTAATTCTTACATAGAGGTTTTCCTTCTTTAGGGAGAAGTTTGGATTTGACGAATTTTCTCGAACCCAAGAAAAGACTCATTCTACTTCTTAAAGTTTTTCCTTTTAGAATTACAAATAATATTTTATAAATATTGTAGCTAGATAATCAAACACAGCAATAATATGCACATTAAAGTCAGAACGTTAAGACCACTTACACCTTCTCTTCTGCAAATGAAAATAGTGTTCCCCCTGGTGGTAATTCAAAACTAAGGGAAGCTTAATAAATAAACTTAGTATTCGAAAAATTGTTTAATCTCGAAGTCTAAGTTCAAGGGAGGTCCAGTACTATTTACACTTTGATCAACGTGTGTTGTTGGGTTATACTAGTTTCTGTGAATTCCACTTGTCATCAGAGAGATAAGCTGGACTTGTATCACGGTGAAAATTATCAAACAAACTTATTAAATAATAAATCAAAATAAAGCGCAAAAAAAAAACTGATCGGAGTTTCTGAAATGAAACACAAAGTAGTAGAATAATCCAATCAAAGTACGATTTAAAATTAAACATAAAACTTTAAAAGCAAAATAAAAGGGGTGTTCCATACAATAAAATCAAAAACAGAAGATGAGAGAAAGAGCTGTCGGTAGACATTGATAAGAACTTATGACTTTGGCTACGTAAGAACTGTTTAAATTATTCTATTCAGCTCTAGCCCCCCCCCCCTCAAGTGGCACAGCGGTATGTCTGCGGACTTACAACGCTAGAATCCGGGTTTCGATACCCGTGGTGGGCAGAGCAGAGATAGTCCATTGTGTAGCTTTTTGCTTAATTACAAACAAACAAACAAATTTAAGGCACATTTTCTTAATGTCTCTCATGGCCTGGTGGTTAGGGGGCATTTGACTCGTAATCTGTGGGTCGTGAGTTCGAATCCTCGTCCCCGAACATGCTCGCCCTTTCAACCGTGGGGCATTATCTTAATGCTCCGGTCAACCCCACTATTCGTTGGTAAAAAAAAAGAGTTGGCGGTGGGTTGTGTTGACTAGTTGCCTTCCCTCTATTTTACCACTATGTGGTGTTGTGTGTGTGTCTGTATTGGCTACGTAAGAACTGTTTAAATTATTCACCTCTATCTGGTGTTGTGTTTGTGTGTCTGTATTGGCTACGTAAGAACTGTTTAAATTATTCAGCTCTATGTGGTGTTGTGTTTGTGTGTCTGTATTGGCTACGTAAGAACTGTTTAAATTATTCAGCTCTATGTGGTGTTGTGTGTGTGTCTGTATTGGCTACGTAAGAACTGTTTAAATTATTCAGCTCTATGTGGTGTTGTGTTTGTGTGTCTGTATTGGCTACGTAAGAACTGTTTAAATTATTCAGCTCTATGTGGTGTTGTGTTTGTGTGTGTCTGTATTGGCTACGTAAGAACTGTTTAAATTATTCACCTCTATCTGGTGCTGTGTTTGTGTGTCTGTATTGGCTACGTAAGAACTGTTTAAATTATTCACCTCTATCTGGTGCTGTGTTTGTCTGTCTGATTACTTTTTTTCTTCTCTAGATATGAGTGGAAACCACCAGTCATTGACGAATATGGAATACAAGGAAGAAATGGAAGGTGGACAGGCCTTATTGGAATGTTGTTAGAAAATGTAATTTACTTATTTAACAATCCTTTATGTGTAGTGTTTAAACATTGTGTAAGACACTATTTAAAAAAGCTTAATTATAACCGTATAGGTTGTTGTTCATACAATTGGTGATATACGTATCACCTACACCGCTACTATGTTTTAGTATCCAAGATGGTCCGAGGAGCCCTGTTATTTACAGAAGGGATAGCCGGCACTGAGTGTAGCAGATATAATATGTTTGACATATAATTTAAATATTCTGTCTTCAACTTTCGCCCATAGCTTCTCAGAATAAACAACAAATATTTGACATTTATTTAACGATGTTCCGACCCAGAGGAGCGGGTAAACATCAAGTTATAATCATTCCAGTATTACTCGTCGTTCTTCATTGATTTACTCGGTGGGGGGTCCTCACTTCGTAATTAGTTCCTACGAGTTCACCAGTCTGAGTAACGTATTCTTGGAGCGACATGTATAGTTCTACAAGATATTACGCTCTCCGAGTTAAACAACCTGACTAACGCAATCTTTATTTAATACCGCCATCAGAAGATTGTACACTGCATTATTAAGACACTTTTTTCGAAAGTCTATTGATTAGAAATGAAATTTTGATGAGGAAACATTTTACGAACTTCACATATTTTTGAAGAGTATTTTAGGTTAATTTTTACTTATTAACTACACTTAAGGTTATGTTAAACTTAAGTCTGACGAAATTATGATATATATATATATATATACCTTCAATCAGGATGTTTGTCAAGTTAGAGTTGTTAACAATATATATATAGATTTCAGGGAAGAGTTTTGCAGTATGTTTGGTATCTTAGAGTTGTTAACAATATTATAACTTTCAGGGAAGAGTTTTGCGGTATGTTTGTCATCTGATAGTTGTTAATAATATATATATAGCTTTCAGGGAAGAGTTTCGCGGTATGTTTGTCATTTTAAAGTGATTTTCTTTACGTATCTTCTTCTGCCCAAACGAACTTTAGAACTACATCATAAAATAGGGGGTTATCCCCCATCCTGCACAACCAATCAGCAATATTTATTAATCCAGAAGAAGGGTATCTCGGGTCATTAAGACCTCCTCCACACGGTATGAATAGTTTAATATCAGTTGCGTGTAATAAGTATAATAAACAGATGGAACCCTAAACTTACAAAACTTAATTTATACATATATACAACAAGGAAAATCAGAAATAAGCCTACAGAATTAAACTCATATGACAGGTAAGATAATAAAGTAGTAAAATACAATATTTTTTACTATTTTACGGCAAAGCCAGTAAGGCTATATGCTGCCGTCCCTAATTTTAAACTACTGACCAGATGGAAGGAAACCATTCACTTGCACCTTACTATTAAACATCCCCCTTTAAGGGATTGACTCTCACTCTTATAACGCACCCACAGCTTAAAGTGCGAAGAATATTTTATGACTTAACACGAGTTCGAACCTGGCTCAGCAAAAGTAAGAATTATATAACTAATGATAACATTACACATTGAATTCATTTAAAAAGAGAGAGAGAGAGAGGAAACCTCTATCAGGACCGCGCTCCAGCATCACACCACAACGGAACAACATCTTCCAAAACATTACTAAAACTCTTGAAACTACCAGAACTGAAGAAGAACTCATTACAGAGTACGAAACGTTAGGTGGGAGAGGAGCCACAAAGAAAACTACTCCACCATGATATGTAGAAATTGGTTATTCATTCTAACTAAATTACTTCAAAGTTGATTAATGTACCTTTACTAATCTCACCAGAACTTCTAATGGTTCTTTCTCTGCACAGCCTCCAGAGGGCGCTGATTGTAAGCTAGTAGCTGAATGGACTTGCGAGTTTGTAGCTAATGGGGAATTTTATCTTGGGGCTCTTAAACTTGGCTCTTAGGAAATTGGAGTATTTTGAATTTGTGTTTTAATTCTTAAAGACAAATATAGGATGTGATATACAAAATTAAACCATTTGATACACAAAATGAATAATACATCAACTGTTACGTAGTGGTAGAGGTAGCGCCACCTATCTGTTTATATATAAGTTATTAAGAGATTCGTCAAAAATCGATATATTCAAGGTGTTAAACAATAAGGACCCTAGTGGTGTTCTTTGCCATGTTTTTTATGATATTTTCAATCCTCGTTTTTGTCTCGAGCTTCACGTGGATTTTTCAATACAGTCATCGTATCAAGATTCTTTTTTTTATATATATTTTGTGCTTCATACGAATCCATAACTTTTACGTTTTAGAAAAACATTTTGCTTACTTTAATTCCTACCATAAATGTTGTCATTTATTCACAAAGTGTAACATTTTCTGTTCATTTATGATTCTCGTTTGTTTGTTGTTGTTGTTTTTTTTTTGGCAGGAAATCGAATTTGCGGCTATGTCGTTTTATCAAACACCTGAACGTCTGAGTGTTGTCAATTTTACCTATGCAATTGATGAAAATCCTTACATGATGCTGGTTCGGCGACCTTCTCAAGACAACAGTATGCTATTTTTGGCTCCTTTCACTTGGGATGTAAGTGTTTTCTTTAAAAGAAGAAAGAATTGTATTACAAAACTTCTCGCACGACAAATTTTGAACATCGTTATTTGTAATTAAGCA